TTTTTTTGGTGGTGTTGGGAGTTGAACCCACAGCCTCATGCATGCTAGGCAAACACTCTAACACTGAGCTATATCCCCAGCCTAATTTGTCTTTATGGATAGTCGTTTGGCTTCTGATTGTTTGAAAAGATATTTTTAAATGATAGTTTTTATAATTCTAGACTTTTTGATAGTAATAAAAATGTACTATATTTCATTTCTGAAATAGATTTTGAATTCATAAAAAATTATTGGCAATGAAAACTTAGTAATGGTATTAAGTTACACATGTTTAAACATCATGTTAGTTTATTTTGCATTAATAAGTGCTGCTGGTATTATTTTGTTTCTGTATATTTATGTGTAGCTTTTATATGCAATTTACCTAGTGTTTAGAAAATGTGATTTGTAATAAATGTTGAAATGAAAAATGGCTTCACACTCATTTTTGAAGAGCACTTCTATAACATACATATGTCAAATTTTTTAATGTTAAAAGCAAAATAAATTTTTCTAATCTATGTTGTATGTGACAGAGAATTGAACTGTGTGCTGTGCGTGTCTCTGTCTCTGTCTCTCTGTAAGTGTATACACCAGGCACTCTGAAAAAAAAGCAAAGGAAGTAAAAAACCTGTTTTATTCTAAGGAATTTCCAATATAATGCTTCCTTTGCTAAAAGGAATCATATTATATTATGACTTAATACTTACTAAGATTGGCATCTTCACTTCCATATTCTAAAAAAATGAATTGTATTATACTTCCTTTCAGGTTTATACAAATGTACCTTCTTTTTTTAAGTTGCTACCAAATTTGCTAGCCTTTTGTATTCAACTTCTCACTCTCCTAGCCCATAAGTCAGAAGTATTAAAATTACAGATTGGTCAGTTTTTAAATAACATTATTTATGTTTCTACTTATAAAGGTTCTACAAATACATCTATAGCATTTGGAGCACTGGAAAAGACAGAAATTACCAGACAGTGATAAAATCCTTATTGGGTAATTCGTGGTGTCTAAAATTTGTTTCACTCATTTATAAGGGATAATGTAACTGTTCTCTATAGAAAGAATGTATTGTAACTACAACATGATTACTTCTTCAAAACCCATTCTAGAAAATATTTTAAAAGTTTTAACACTCAAAAAACCAAACTTCGTGTAAATTATACTGATATGCTATAGTTTAAATCTCGAATGTCCCCCACAGCCTGTGTGTTCCAAGGCATGATTGCCAGCCTGTGGTGCTATTGGGAGGCAGTAGAACTTTCAACAGGTGAGGAGGTAGTAGAAGGAAGTTAGGTCATTGGAGATGTGCCCTTCAAAGGGATATGGGGATCCTGGTCCCTTCTCACTCTCCTGCCCACCATGAGGAGAGCAGCTTGCTGCACCATGCACCTGCCCCCCATGATGTACTTCTTTATCAGCAGCTTAAAAGCAACAGGCCATTTGACCATGAACTGAAACCTAGAGCCAAAATAAACCATTCCTCTTTAAAAGTTGATATCTCTCAGGTACTGCATTTGTTACAGCAACCAAAACCTAGGTAACAGAAAATGAAAACCTTTTTTTTTTTTTTTTTTTTTTTTTAAATTTTTTTTTTTTTTTTTTTTTTTTTTAAATAAAAATGGTGTCACTATCAGCTTGTTTTTCTCTTTGGGTAGACTGAATGTTTTGATGGAGGTGGAAATAAGCCTTTATAATATTTTGTCTCTTTCCTTATATGACATTTTAGTGTTTAGTGGCAAGCTTCAGCAAGATGCTCAGAAATAGTGATTTTTTTCCTTTCCTGTTGATTCAGTGCTTTCCTGGTGAGGGCTGGTTCTCATCTATAAACAGTATAGGTGATAGTGCCCAGAATTCTCACTTTGGCTCTGATCCTCTCTCTGAGGCCTATCTTCACTGCTTCAATTTCATCTGGTCCACTTGTAATTGGACTAATGAGTATTGAGTTGCAAATTGTGTGACAAGTAATTAACCAATACTTGTGCCTTGAAAAATGAAAAGTACTTTATAAATGCTAAGTATTGTGCTGTGCAGATATGATGTTCTTTTGAAGTAGTTCAGCTGTGAGGCCACACACCTGGCTATGAATAGGCAGCTAAATAGGAAAACAGGTTTAAGAGGCTATTAAGGTTTAAGTGCTGTTTGTTTAGTGACTGACATACTTTTATTTGACAAATGTAGGTCGGTTTGTTAATCTCATTAATAGAACATTTTTATACTGTTTCACCTTAACTTTTAACCAGATCTTATAATAAGTGATTTTATAATTTATCTCATTAGAGTCATTGAGTTTCAGGGCTGTGAAGGATTTTTTTAAATTTAATTTATTGGTACATTCTAGGTAGACAGTACCGTTACATTCATTACTGGGATCTTGTACCTTTACATGCCAGGTCTTGGTTCTCATTTTTTCCCCTTGAGGATTTTTTGTTTTGTTTTTTGACACAGGGCCTCACTATGTAGTTCATGCTGGTCTTGTACTCACTGTAGCCCAAGCTGGCCTCAAACTGAACAATCCTCTTCCTACCTCAGTCTCCTGAGTGTTGTGATTACAGGCGTGTGCCATCACACCCAGATCAACCCCCAATTTTGTAGATGAGAAAGAAATTGAAAGTTAGAAAGTTTAGATGGCCTGTTCAGCTATACTGAACTACAGAATAGGCCTCTTACGTTTCCCTGAGATTATAAGGAGAACAAGACTCAGCTCATCCGTCTCCAACTTTGTGAAGCCTTTTTTAATACTTGCAGGTAGAAAGGCCCTGCTTGAGGCTCCCACAGTACTCCATATAGATTTCTAAGTACTTGAAACACTTTATTCCAATTCTTTATCCATGCCTTTCTTGCTATTCCCAAGTATGATCTGTGGACCAGCAGCATCAGTTTCACCCAGAAACTGGATTACTCTGAATCCCCTCTCCAGATCTGTTGAATCAGCATCTACTAATACTCAGGGAATAACCAGAGGAGTAACATGCACGTTAAAGTTTGAGAAGCTTGTGCTGAACTGTTAGAATCAAACTCTAGAATCAAGAGTTAGAAATATTTCTATTCCTAGAGTAGCTGAGAGTCCAGTAATGTGATTTATGTTTTAATAGATGTTTTTGATTGAATGAGTCACAATTCAGTACTTCATTCTACTAGATCAGACTTTAGTCTTTTGTGCATTTCCTCCCTTCATGTACTCCTTGATTGCTTCTGGAATAAAAATATTCTATAATATTAAACTATTTTGGGGGGTTTGTTTTGTGTTGAAGTAGTAACTATGGTCTCTGTCCACTGAATCTCCTAGAAAGCATTAAGAACATCAGTGATACTTGAAACAAATACAGTTGACTGTCGAATTAGGACTGACCTGACATATGAACAATTTGGATTATGGACTGCAATTTTAATTTTAACTTACATCCAAAGTCTGAGTTAAGACCCGAATGCCAGCCACTTGTGCTTCCAGATGGTCTCAGATACAGATTTAACCCTGAAAGAGTTCTGGGAGGAACATTACACCATCCTTTCCTGTGTGGGGTTAATGGAGAAATCCCAGACCAATGTCTCTCTAAGGACACTGAGTTCTGCCTGGAAGAAAGTGTGGTCTAAAATTATACAGTAGACAGACTTTGAAGGCTGTGTAGAGGAGCCTGACCAACTTGAGTTACAACCAGCCTCAGGAATGAATTGAGTTCACAAGTCATGCGTCCACTGTAAGAGCACACAGAAGTTTCTGAGTTAAATTTTCATCTGAGGTGTTCTTTTCTTGTTTTATTCGATTGGGAAACATTACATAAAGCCAGAGTGGTTATTGATTAATCACCACTGGGGCTGAGTTAAAATGAAATCACAGCACGGCGTGGTCGAAAACACCTGTAATTCCAGCACTCTGAAAGGCTGAGGCAGGAAGATCAAAAGTTTGAGCCTAGCTTGGATAACTTAGTGAGACCTAGTCTCAAAATAAAAAAGGCTGGAAATGTAACTTAGTGTGAAAGCCCTAAATTCATCCCAGGACCCCTAGAACAAAACAAAACAAAATAACCATACAGCAACTTGCTTTGGGCTTGTAGGAGAATCTATTGGTCCCCCCTCAAATCTGTCACCTCTTTATTTTTTGACATCTTCCCACTTCAAGTGCTTACAGGGATAAGCTTAGGCATCATCAATAAAATGTGCCAGA